GACTTGACATAGTCCATAATGGCCTTGACCTTAGTCTCCTCTATGGCTTGGGTGAAGATCTCGGTTTTCTCCTCAATATCAGCCTTGAGGAACTCCACCTCGTACTCCAAGGCTCCCTTATCCTCCTTAAGGCCTTTCACCTCCAGCTCTAAGGTCCCCTTGTCTGCCTTGAGGGCGTTAACCTCGCTCCTCAGCCCGTTCCTCTCGCGTGCCAACTCTTCTTTCTCCTCCATCAGTGCTGCGATGACGTTCTTCTGAGCTGAAGCATCGCTCTCCAGCTGATGGATTTGGTCGCGAGCTGCCCTCAGATCGGTGTGGGCTGCGCGAGCCGAGTCCTCAACAGCCAGAGCCCGCTTCAGGTGCCTCTCGGACTAAAGGGTCAAGGCGTGCACGGCGGAGTTCACCTGACAAGAGAACTTACCACCATAGAGTGGGTGGCAGCCCGGGCCCTGAGCTGACCAGGGGTGAGGTTGGCCCATTGGGAAACCTCTTCGGCATAGACAGTCCCTTGCTCTTCCGAAGGCTGCACTATGGGATCAGGATACTTCGGGTTCCCTCTTGACTCCCCGAGCTGGAAATTTCCATCTCGGCTGTGCGAATGGACTCAGTGGAAGCTTCAGTTGCTGCATCAGCGGCCTCGGTGGTGACCTCAGGCTCCACAGCTGCCTTTGGAACAGGCTCTGCCGATGTCTCGGGCTCCCGAGGTGGTAAGATCTCCTCCAAATCGATGATCGGAGGTACATCAGGGAGCTCAGGCTCAGAGGTAGGAGCCTGCGGAAGCTCGGGCTCGGAGGTGGGGGCCTGCGGGGACTCGACGCGAGCTCTCTTGGTAGCTCACTTCTTTCTCCCCTTCATATGGCTGAAAAGCCTCTCCCCCTTGAGCTTCTCTTCCTCCATGGGTCCTGCAACAAAGCTCGGCGTTAGCAACTCAAAGGTACAAGCTACTAAGGTAAAATGTTTAACTCTAGGTAAGACGACCTACCCGGGCTCAAGCCGGCTTGTATGAGCTTGCTCTCGATGATATAATCCTTGTAATTAAACCCGAGCTCAGCCCATGACTGAAGCGTCTCCCTTGTCTTCTTGTCCAGGATAACGCCAGGGTCCTGAACAGCCGACCTCCAATGAGTGGGGAAGGGCCACCCCGCGGTGTTCCAGACTACGAAGTAGTCCTGCTTCCAAGCTGGGACTTTGCTGGGAAGCTTGTGCAGTAACTTGAAACCCGGGTGAGGGGACAGGTAGTAGGCCCGCCTGTGCTTAGGGAGAACGTTTGAAGCGTTCTTCTTTATTGAGAGAATTGAACAAAAAATATCTAAGTCTAAAGGGAGGACGTACTCAAAGCAGAGGGAAATGGTCTCGACCACATTACGAATGGAGTTCGGGTGAAGCTGGTCTATTGTGACGTTGAAGTGATTCAGAACCTCTATGATAAGGGGGTGGAAAGGGAGACGGAGCCCAGCTATGAGTTGCTCCCGGAATATCACGATCTCGTCAGGACCGTGCTCCCATGGGAAGTTACCCACAGGCAGATTGTAGGTATACTCCCTAGGTAGGTTATATTGCCGAATAAGGTGTTAGAGCCTCTCCAGCGTCATGGTGGAAGGACCGAACCTATCTGGCATCCGACCTCGGTGAGAGGTGGACGCCAGATTACCCGAGGCCTCCTGCGCCTCGTGAGACTGGACTTCGGTAGGGTCACCCTGAGCCGAGGTACCCATCTTGGGCTCATCCAGTCGACTATCGAAACTAGACATGGTGAAAGATAAAAATGAACTGGAAGAAATAAGGAAGCTGAAAGAAAAGCTAAGGGGACTCACCAAGGAAAAGCAACCAAACTGGGGAGAATTGACCCGAGCTGGAGACCTTAGATGCGAGCTCAAGACGAATGCTGAGAACTTACGGCGAGGGAAAAATGATAAGGACCCCCACTATTTATAGCCACTATACTCGGGCATCAACGGTCAAGATCAAGACGATCTGATGGCTCTCAAGAAAACCTGCTACGTGACCGCCGAGGCGGAATCGATTTAGCGCGTTTTTTGACATCCGCGGAGTCCATAGATCACATGATGTCTGCATGTGGACTGTACGCGACCCGGGTTGCCCTTGATTGAACCGAGCAGTGAACTGGTCCGACCAATGAGCTGCCTGACAAGAAGGTCTGAGCTCCGAGCCAAATCCTCCCGGCACACCGCGAACTCCCCGTGTTGGGTTAGAACCCCCAGCATGGGGAGTGGTTGGCAATTGATGGAGGGTGATTTGGCCCAACCTCGTAGCACGGGGACACGTGGACACAACCTGGCATAGGTGACAACTCAGCGTGACAGCCTGGCCATAACTCAACGTAACGAACTCGCCGGAGACCGGCCGGACAACTCGGTGGATGTGGCAACTCGCCGTGAAGTAACATCCAGCTTACCCCGAATTCTCTCTAAGGGAGAAGCGCCCAGAGCTCCTCCTAAGACCCGAGCTCCTCCCAATAAGCCCCGAACTCTTCCTTCCTGAGAAGAGAACACCCCGATCTGCGGCTAAGTATCCCGAAGTGGAAACACTTCGGATCAGCACCATTAACACTCCTACCTAAGGCTCGCCTCAAGCATAAGCACCTCGGCGCACCCCCAGCACCTCGGTGTAAGATAGCTCAGCCCAAGGTATCTCGGTGCAAAGTAGCTCGGCAACCTGCAGGAAAGATCTGCCTGACAACAATACCTGCCGAATCTAGAGGCTGTGCCCACGTCCCTCGTCAGGTGGCGTCGTGCCTGCCATTTCTGCAAGATGTGGCACGCTTGACAGGTCCGTACTCTGCAACGGCTTCCTGCATCCGCCACCTCAGCTCTGGCAGTAACGACTACAGTAGAGGCAGTTACACCTGGCTTGACAGAGGCGGTTACGCCTGATTTGACATATCTCCAATATAAAAGGACCCCGATCCCCAAGGAGCAAAGGGACTGAACTTGCGCCATCTGCACTCTTAGCTCTCTCTTTGCATTCTCTACAGTTCTCACAGAGTTCTAACTTAAGCATCGGAGTGTTCTCGTCGGGCGAGCTCCCCAGGAATTCTTCACTTTCCTCTTCGTCTCAGGTACCATCCGTCACCAGGTAGGAGCTAGCTAGAAGTGTCTGGATCGCGCTGCATCAGCCACCATCACGAGTATGAATTGGTCTACCCAAATGAAATCATTTTCGTGTGCCTGCTTATAAAAAAATTCTATTATTAAATACCCAAAATGTTTCATAACAAAAATATATAATTGATAAGAGATGTACCACTCCACTCTACTAGTCATTGTTACACTACCCATTTACCAAACCATGCAAAATAAATGGAAATCAAACTATATCCTAGGCCATCCTATTGAATCAGCTATTTGATTTTCAATTTCTCATCGAAGTTCTGCAATTTTTGGTACATTATCTGCATTCACTTCATTATTGACTGCTTGATGTCCATCATCTGGATCTTCTTCCACCTTATGATTATTGTTACCATATTCATTAAAAAGATCATCATCAATCTTATCTCTCTTAATTTCATCTCAGACAAAATTGTGAATCACACATGCAGCTACCATTATCTTGCATTATGTTCTCAAAGAAAATGATGGCATGAGTTTTAAGAATAGAAATCTTGCTTTCAACACACCAAAACACCGCTCTATACAGTTACACAAGTTTGAATACCTGTAGTTAAACTCCTCTCTCGCACCCCTTGGACGTTTTTGTCTTCGAAAGTATGACAAATGGTACTTCTCTCTTCGGAATTGTACAAGAAAACCAATTTGTCTAGGGAACCCCGAACCTACAAGGTAGTATTTTCCTATTGTAACAAAACACAGCTAAATATTTATCACATTTGATGGAAATCCAAAAAATGGTAAGAAATTTTACCTTGCGGTGGAGAGGAAAACCGACACTAGGTTCATAGCACATAACAGACATAACAATCCAATACATGGACAAAGGTTCATACACATAACAAAGGACAATCTTCATGATATTCAATCTATAACAAAAGACATAACAAAACACAATGATGGGATTAGAGAAGAAACCCCACCCATTCAACATAACATATAACCATCGATGGGATTAGAGAAGAAACCATACCCATTTGGCATAACATATAACAAATGCAAACAAAATAATATAAGAAAAACAATTTCATATCACATTGGTTAGAGATTATTTAGAACTCATCTTTGCGGTGGGAGCAAAAACGATTCCATGTGAATTTGGTTAGAGAAAATGTGAGTTTAAAACAAAGCACACGATACAAAACTAGGTATGGTGATGAGCCAATATACGTATTGATGCATTCCCGGTTGAAAATGTTGCCGATACTTTCTATCGTTCGCTCATCGTCTCTTGGAGCCAAGGGAGTCCCTCATTCCTTTGAGATTTGCAATAGCAAGTTGGAGGAATTCACTGTCAAACGAAAATGTTTGGCAGGGCTTCTTTCTATCATTTAGTGTGAAATACCCAAAATACCCCTCATCTCTCATGTGGGAGTTGTTAACACGTGTTCGCTAATTAGGGTTAACGTCATGAGAACCATGTGTTCCTTGAGAACGCGTTCTTTGGGAGTATCAATTTTTCACTCCCAAAGAACATGATTATCAAGCTGACATGATGTAGGTGGCAAAGTAGAGGAGCTTTTCTATTGTTTTTTCCCTTATTTCTTTGTAAAGGGTGAGATTTTTAAGAAGCACATTATAGGATCAAATTTGATTTATACAGATCCAATTTTGATTCATTAATATTTGAATTGGAGTTGAATCTTATCCATTGGATTCAGATTGAATTTATATTGGCATCGGATATTTGAATATCATTAATAAATTAAACTAAAAATGATCAAAATATTATATATTATCAATAGAAGAAGCTAAAAGTGACTGCTATTATATATTATAAATTTAATAGATATAAACCCATATAAAATATTATATCCATATTCAATCCAATTATAAATACAAAAAAAAAAAATCAAATTCAGACCACCCTGAAAGCCGAAAAGTATAATCTGTTCATCTAAGTATCAGTTCACAAGTTTCTTTTTGCAATAGTTAGCAAGTAGGAATTTTGGATGATTAGATTACAGACACAGCCGCAGTCCTGTATGGCTGCTAGACAGCAACATACATACAAAGGCCATATTTACAGGAAAGGCCGAGCCATATTTCAAATAAAACTATTTTACATAAACACTTCATATCTCTCTTCATCTTCAAAACATAAAAAGCAACTAAAATGCACTTCTAATCAAAGGGATCAATCCGAGGATCGTGCTCACTCGCCATTGCCATCCCTGTACAAAGGCATGTAGGACACATGACCTGCAAATTTTCCATCATATCAAAGTAATCAGGAGGCATCCAAAGACTACTATAAGAAAAGGAAAACAAAAAGACTTAGCTCACAATGTGACAGCACAAAGGTGGATATACTGAATAAAAGACAAGGAGAATAGTTATGCATCCATAATACTACTTTAAAAGAATCCTACTGGTCAACTGTGTAGGCAAAGCAAATTCTCTTGGTTTAAGGGAAGTTCACATCAGTCAGTGTTGTTTTGAGGAACCACATGGGGTGAATGAATGTAAATTTGATGTTATTTCCTAAAATCGGGATTGGGCAATGTACGCTGACCCATCAGTTGTAATTGTAACTTATTTTATGTAATTTTAAACTTTTAATAATTTTACTGTTACCCATAGAAAAAGGAGATCCAAACCCTTATGTTGAGTTTATATATAGTCATTATTTTGGAATTTTAGTTAATTCTCTTGGTCAGTTTGTTGTTCTCTCTAATGCAGCAAGTATTTCTTTGTTACTAAAATCTCTACTTAGCAACATTTTTATACAGTACAGCCACCTGCATTTCATCTTTAATCCTTAATTTCCATTGTAATTTTCATCTTACATAATCTTTGCTCTTTGTTCTTTCTCTTCACATGCCTCTTTTTTGGCTGTTAACTTTTTTTGGGGAAAATTGGACTTTGTGTAGTATACAGAATTTTGTTGTACAGACACATGTTTTGATACCAATTAAAGCAAATTACCTTACCTTTTTTTCAAAAAACAAATTACAAGTAAAATACAAGAAAAACATTTCCAACTTTCCTACCTTTCCTGAACCGGAACAGTTTGAACAGCGTTCAGTTTTAGGTGGAGGTAGAGGCTGATCCCTATTAACTGTTGCAACTGGCTCAATAAGAACAAGAGACCCTGTACTAGAACAGCGAGCACAAGCAAGATACCCTGCAACAAGTAAACCATTTATTAATAAAACTAAAAGAATAAATTAAGCTCTACTTCTCTCACAAAAAACTAATTACACAAAATGCAAAATTATGACTGGCTTGTTTGTTATTACTTCCACAACCACCTTGATTTTATGAATTCATTGGTGCCATTAACACCACCAGCCACCAAGGAAGAACAGGTATCCTAGGGAATAATGGATCTATGAAAATTGAAAAATTCCAATGGTAGTATGAGGAAGCTAAGTGCAGTTTGGAACATGAAATCAGACCATTATAGTAATGACAATTTTAGGTTTGAGGCTCATAAGGTTTCTCCGATTTGGGGTGAAAATCGAAAACTTCCTTATTCTAGAACCCTCCCCAACCAAATACAACACAAATGGATAGGTAAACTGAAGCTTTTCTAAACATACAGGAACTGAACAAACAAAGCTATTAACTCTTGACCAAAGTTTGAAGTCCAGTTAAAAATGAGTAGAAAATAATTTGTTCCCTTAAACGTATACCAGTTCCAAGGCAATATTTGCAGCGCTTATGCTCCTGCTGTTTGACATTGTTTATTTCAACCACCATCAAAGCTGAGATAACTCCAACTCCTCCTCCAGAGAATGATGCCACTATAGGATCAACTTGACTGCATGTTTCAAACACAAAAGCTAGTAAACATGAAAGTACTTTTCTGTGATAAGCAATCCAACATAAAGTCGTTTTAGGCTTATTCAGCAGTTATTCCATGATCATAGTTAATTTTTTGCTCATAGATTCTGGATTTGTTTCAGGCTATGAGAGTGGTAAATGATGCATTTACATTGCATGAGGCCAGACAAGGAATATAAAATGAAATTATCATGCCAAAAGGTTCAGTAGAGAATTTGTCATGCAATAAGGGGACTAATAAGGGAGTAGCCAGAGCAACTAGGAAATAAAAACAGCATGTAGCATGGATAGACTGAGATATTAATTATACCTCAACTGCATTGGAAGATGCATGCTACGAATGAAATCTTCATATGATGTGCCACCAAGTCCCAGTCTGAGCTCCAGCTGAGATAAGTATTAATAGAATAAGAATAAAATAAGATGGTGTTCGTGTCTCCAAAAAATTCAGGACTAGTTCAATATAAAACATACTCTACAATCTAACAGTTTGATTCCCCGTATCTTTACAGGACAACCTTATAATTTTGTTCTTCTCTACAAATATCCATTAAGAGAAAAGTTAAAATACTTGCATATCGTAAGAACTTTAAACCAAGCATAATTTTATAGGCATATAACAACATGAAACATGCAACTCAGAACTGCCCTCTACGTCCTAAAATCAGGACTAGTTCAATATATTGCCCAATCTCACAGTTTGATTCCTCATGTTTTCAAAGCAATCTCACAATTTCATTCTTGTCTACAGCTCCTATTCCTTTAGAGAAGTTAAAGAACTTCCTTATTATAAGAACTTTGAACTAATCATACTTCTATTGGTATCAAACATGGAAAAGCGTGCAACTCAAAACTGTAATCTGCCATCCATCATCAGTGTATCACATATGCAGGAGAGAGCAACAAAAACATTCTAAAAGCATGACACCTGGTTTCTGTCAGTAGATCCTTCCCCTTACATGTGATCTGAATAGTACAAACAAGGGAGGAATAAATTAAGGTGCACTATATTGTCAAATAAGTTTGGACCAGATGCAAACACGTCTTAAACCAACCAATTTTACTTTCTACAGCAGTTCTATTTCTATCTGTACCCTCTCAAGTATCTATACAAATAAAATGTAGTCAAGAATGAACAAACAAAAAAAAAAACATTGATCATAACAGCCAAACATTTAGCATGAAGAATCATCTCAAGATCTCACTACTTGCATTCTTTTTACTATTAATTCTCTATTCTGCCATATGTAGGTTACAACTAATAATAAATTATTCACATGAAATGAATGATAAGAACACTACTTTTACCTCTAAGAATATAACAACAATGATACAGTGAGAAATGATAAAGTTGCATTGAAAAAAAGAAGAAAATTTATAGAAATGTATAAATATAAAGATCAAAGCCAAGCTAGAAATAGAGAAAGAGAACTGAAGAACTTGAAAAGAAAGTAAAGAACAAAAGAAAGCTAAGAAGAACTCTAAATTGCTCTAGTGGTTCATAGTAGGAAACCTTACAGTAGGTGCTAGAAGGCCACCAAAAATGATAATCCCAGTAATAAGAGAGAAACAAGTAGCATAATATAGCTTGAGGTTTTCTGAACTCTGCATATAAGATACCATTTAACAGTTATTTAGGGAAAAGACAATTGTTGATTTCACATAATGCAAAATAGGAAGAGTGGGTTAATCTGAAAGAAAAAAGGTCCTTTCCACTTAAAATTTGCTAACCTAATAAAAATAATAAATTATACAAGGCTTACCAGGGGAGGCAAGAATGGAATGAACGATGGAAAATTAGGAAGTTCATTTTCATGTTCCTCCTTTAGAATTCCAAGTTCGGCACTTTTAATTCTCTGCTGTATCCTTAACCTACGAACCTAATAAAACATATGATGTAATGAGTATTATGAATATGATGCAACAAAATGGAAAACAGAAGTCATCCCAAGCTAGATGCATTCATGACCATTTTGACATGGCAATTTGGGTCAAAGAGTTGTTAATATCTATCAATTCCATAGCCCAGAAAAGTGCCCATTCAGAGCTTGAGGTTTAGAAAGGATAATTAGTTCTAGAAGTCAATCTCAAGCCAATATCTGTCTGCAGAAAAGTGGGTTGATCTAGATGCATTCAACCAAATGCAATACATTGATGAGCTTTCCTGCTACTGGTTCTGGTTGTTTTCTCGGACACAACATATTTATTAAGCAAATTTGCCAAATTATGCACAAAAAAGAGATCACCAAAGTCGATCTCAAGCCAGTATCTGTCTGCAAGTTATTATGCATAGACATGGACACTGACACAGACACATATATGGGAAATAGGAATATGATTCTCCATTCCCAAGATTCCAAAACAGATATAGGTATGGGTATCCTATTTAATAGGTTTCTATCATGCCTCTATCTAGCTTGCCAAATTTAATTAAACTCCCAACATATACAGGTGTTTTGTAAACATACCATTTTACATATTCCAAAAATATTAGATAATGTATACTCTAGAAGTGTCTATGCAGTTTCCAGTAAGGGTGCAACTTGGGTAGGGTTGGGTTGATAAGTTTTCAAGTTTTTAATGGAACTGAGCCCAATGTTGAAACTTGAAATCCTTCAAAACAGGCAACACAACTTGCACCCCTAGTATCTAGTGTCATATCAGGTACATATTATGTCTGACAATGGTATGTTTGGCATGTAAATGTATCTGGGCATCATAGTGTCAAAGTACAGATGAAGAAAATGGTCATAGACAAGAAGAGGTTCTATGGTTTATGTTTTGCAAATTACACAACTTTGACACTAATTAACAGGACTAGAGAGAATAAGTGCAGAACTAGAACTAGGGAATAATACTTTAGAATATATATAACGGTTTTTTATTAAACGGGGTTAAGTCAGGATGTGCAGGGATGCTATTTTAGAAAAGCTATGCATACCCCATGATAACCATTTCCATTATCTTGGCTAGTTTATCAACAAAGCAGTAGATGATTACGGGGATTTTGCCAAAGAATTAGAGCTGGACAGACAAAGTGGAGATGTGCCTCTAGAGTTTTCTGCAACCAAATTGTACTGACCAAGTTGGTTGTAAATTATTGCATCACCATACATGCATATATCGTTTGACCCAGTGCCTTGATATTATAGTTAAATATCATCCAAGAAAATGTGCTACATTAAGTTGAATCTGAATACATGATAAATGAAGATCCAATTGCTTACATTCTTTACCAAAAAAGCCAAAGGGTTACCAGTCAACCTTGAATGCCTTATAATAAATAAATGGCAAAAGGAGTGATAATTGGACTCCTAATCAATTCTTTTACTCTATAAGGGACAGCTAGATATTTTATCATCATTTATATGTCAAAAATTTTACAAGACTTTTTGACATGACAAATACTCTAGAAATTACATTCAAGGACAAAAAACACTGCTGTAAAAATATTTTTTCCACAGACAAAGCCCTTCTATCATAAATCTGATTTTTCAAACTTGATTTCTAGGTTGAATGACACTAGAACTCCATTCGGAGGCACAAAAATGGAAGAAAATAGAAGATTTTCAAGTGCAATTTTATGGTGTTTGGTTGTGCATAAAATGGCCATGGAAAAAAGATATTTTCCAGAACAAATATTAGTTGTGGAAAAATGGCATCCTTCTAATTTTCTGCAAGTCATTTACCAAACAGAGGGTTGTTCATTGTGATTCAAAATCTAGCAACACCTATATATTTCTCAACCATTAACGTTTTTCTTCTTCCAAATTAAGTCAAACACCAGGAAAATTAGGAAAAGAGATATTTTCCTATTGGATATCATTTTCTGAAGAAATCATTTATTTTCCTTCATTTTGCATGAAACCAAATACAGCCTAGATGCATTACATGAAACTGCCCTTCTGACTTTATTTACCACCAAGTTACATTAGTTAATTTTAACTGATGATTTAAGGAAAGCAAATAATTTGTCCACCATCCATACCCATGCTGAAATGTTTTTCTTTTTCTGTGTAAGTATTATTCAACATACTCCACAGAGACTTGGTTTCCAATCTTCCACTGGATACCATCCTGTGTCCGTGTGAATGTGAATTTGTATGTTTGTTTCTGCATGTGTACCTATGCAGATGCATAACTTCATATGCACCAAATATATACTGGGAACCAAGAGTTTAACCTACTTCTTAGACACAAAATTTAACATATTACTATTATTCCTCAACGAACCAACATATATCTTACTAATTAATACTCTCTGAGCGAAGGCTGGATATCATAACAATTGTCTGAACTTCTTAAGACAAATTATTGCATACTGAAGAGCACCTCCTCCATGTGAAGGAATATTTTGTTTCGACGGCTTCGAATATTGTCCTGAATTTCTTGCACTTCCATATTAGCAAGGTCTTGCACTGTTTCAGGTCCCTCTATGATGCAAAAGCTGTATTTTAGACGCACATGACACAACAAAATTAAGTCGGGCAATTTTCAAGTTCCAAATTTAACTAATATATAAGCACATAGAATATATTACAATGAAGAAGTTGTCAATGATCTAAAATTCAAGTAATAGCCACCACCACTATTCTGATACAAGAATCAGAGTTCTGCTTTTCTTTTTTCTTTTTCAAATAAAGATCTAAATGAAGTTCCAATAGAAAGAGAAAACTAGAAGCATCATGATTCTAGATTATATGGAGTCATAACGGACAGGCTAAAAATAAAGGCACATATTTACTCAAAATTCATACTTGTTTCTTTATAGCCATATCTGTTCCTAATGAAAAGATTCATGAATATCTGGAAGTACTTCCAAACACCTTGTCAAGAATTCCAGAAAGTAGAAGTCTTATCCCATTACAAAGACCATATGTGTTCCTAAGGCTCAGTTTATGTGCAGTGCAAATATAAGATTTAGAAATACCGTATACAAGGTTTTGCACTGTACATATTTGTATTTGTACTCTTGTCCCGGCAATTAACTAGTATATGACTTCCCATATTAGTTATTTTGCAACCTCATTACATTCCCTCCTTATTTGAAAAAAAAAAAAAAACAAAAGCTTTTTTATCAGTATGCACTGATTTATATTCTCTCACCATATACAATATCCTCCAGCTCACCTACTGAAAACTAAATGCAATAGAGATGTAAGAGGAGAATGACAATAATCCTAGATGTAAATAGTTATTTCAAGCACTAATCTTCCTAAATTCTCTAATTATTTCTTTTAATAAATCGAGGATGCTAATCATGCTATACCATCATATATCAACAACGTTGCCCCCCTTTGGTTCAGATAATAGTCTAATTGAAGGTATAATCTAATTGAGATTTCGAAAGTGAGTAACTCCGAAGTTGGACGTCACAGATTAATAGAAAAAACAAGCAAGCAGAACTTCATGGGAAAAAGAAGGTAGACGCTGAAAACGCAGGAGATTAGGTCCATATCCAGCCCACCCCTCCCAGACCCAAATTGCCGGGACCAGCATTGGGTAATGGCCTTTCTTTTATGATCAAGGAAGGTTAACAAGAAAATAACCAAAGCAGAATAAAATTAACAACTGCGTTGAAAGGAAGAAAAACCTCATCGATGATCGAACCACCGAAGACGCTTACTGCCAAAACAAGGAACAAAATTAAATAGAATGAGAAAGTTTACCCAGCAGCAGCAGCACCACCATTTTTGTCTGCAGAATTGGCATCGATAGACGTGGCGAAGGAGGAGGATTCAGGTTGAGACGCCAACGATCTCCATTTGATGCCGGATTTAAGTTTTCCAGGGAAGAATCTGGAGCTGGAAAAAGGTGAATTATAAGGAAACAAAGTGTTCAAAGGAGTCGAAAGTGCCAGAATTCGCCCGGTACAGAGCATGTTTTCCCTATGATGTTTTGCAGATAAAAAGATGCAGACTCACGCAGAGATCCTCCTCCTCTCTGCAGATAATCTGCTCTTCGCTTCGGTGCTCTAGAGTCCAGTCTGTTAATGGAGTACCGTGTGATTCATGTTAGAGTAGAGACAACTGGCGTAGTTGTGTTTCGTTGTCCCCGAACTGAAAATTTTAGGTTCGAAAAGACGATAATGACTGCTAATTTGCCATATATCCATCCATCCATTTGATATTTGAAGCACTCAAATTTTAATGGGTTGGAGGAAAGAAACACTGAATGAGTTGAGTGGAGGCAACACTGTCGCCGTCGGATACCACTGACAGGTTTGTCTGCATCTTTATTTTTATTTGATAGATTCAGGGAAATCGTTCGAGTTTTGCCACGTGGCAAATTTGCAAGTTCCCGTAATCAGCTGCCAACCCTCGGATTGGAATCCATTGATTCATTGACCAGGGAGATGTGACGTCGTCGATGATGGAAAGCGGTGGCAGTAAGAGAACAAGTATGTTTGACTGATTGATTACCATTTGGTTCTGATCAGACAATGCAAGATTGAATTGAGGTGAAAAGGTATGGTGTAGAAAAGGATTATGATTAAGGATGAGTTGGTGGTGGGCCCCAAGAGAGAAGAAAGGAAAAAATTAATTGAGGTGGGCCCTATCATCTATGATCTACCATGTGTACCATCTTGAATTGGCAATTAATGAGTGTTATGTGTGGTGTATGGTTGTGCTGATCCTAATTTGTTTGTTCATCCAACTAAGGGGACGCCCAACACACTTCATCAAGCTTTTCAAACCACACGTCTACCTTATTTTTGTCGTTATTTTTCATTTTTTTCATCTTTAATTTTGGGTAAATGATAGGGTAAAAACCGCTGCACCATACCGCCTACGTCATATTGCCACACCTCAATTAAATTTGTATATATTGGATTCAAATTAAATTCAGATTGTAATTTGGTATGGAATGGTATAAATAAATTAAATTAACGCTGATTTAAATTGTATATATTGTTGTTAACAAAAGAAAAGTAGAAAAATTCATCACTTTACCCCACTTTATAAATTTTTATTTTTTTCCTGATTTTATTTTCCAAAAGCTCCACTTATGATACAATAACCTCATAAAAATTTGTGAGGAAGGAGAATTTAAAAATTCCCCGGAAAATTATATATTGCTTATAAGCTGGACAAAAAAATGATTTTATTATTGTGTTTCATGAATAAAATGATTTGAAAATTAATTATGTGAAACTTGAACGTATGACAATTTTACTAAAAACATAACATTTAAACCAACTTTATTAATAGATTTAAGAAGAAATTCCATGGTGCATGTCATTAGTGGATTACACTATTTTAATTGATGAAACTAATGAATGATTAAATGCAAAATTATAACTTATGGATGAATGCCTTAAAAACCAAAGGTTTTAAAATTAATAGGACTAAAACAAAATATATGGCATGTAAACTCGGTAATAATAGGAGTGTAAATCAAGATACATTTTGGATTAGAGACCAAGAAATAATTTAATGCGACTATTTTCGTTACCTTGGTTCAATAAATCATAACAAGGAAGATGTCACCCAAAAAATTAGAATAGGATGAGCACAATGGAAGGGTGCATATGGACTTTTATGTGATAGGCATATACCACTTACATTAGAAGGAAAATCTTATAACACAATTATGAGGCTAGCCATATTTTAAGGAGAAGAGTGTTGGCCAGTCAAGAAACAATATATCAAAAAAAAAATTAATGTGGCAAAATTGTGAATGCTAAGATGGATGGGTGGAAAAAACTGGAAAGGATATGATTAAGAATGAAGTTATCTTTAAAAACCTAGGAGTAGGTTTAAGCATGCATTAAAAGACCATCAATTGCACAGATCAGAAGAAATGGTTTGTTACACATTAAAGGGGCTAGAAGAACACATAGTAGACCATAAAGAATACAAGTAGAAGTAGTAAGAAATGATTTAAGCACTAATAATTTAACAAGTGGGTATGGCGTTGAAAAGAACAGATTGGTGAAACAAGATTCATGTAGCCGACTCCATATAATTGGAATAAGGATGGGTGATGATGATTTTTCAAGTATAAATTTGCCTGTGTATTTAAATCTAATTATATCAAATTTAACTGAATGGATTCATATTTGATCCAATTATAAATGACAAATTTAGATCACCCTTGATAGGATTGAATTTGAATTCAAATTCAAATTAGGACAATGGGATACTACTTGCAGCCTTAGTAAACTTACCCCCTCTAGCCTCATTCGAGGTTATTTATTCAGGTAAGTATTTCCCAAGAACAATTTCTCGGGTAAATGCATTTGTCTATATTCTTTTAATCATGAAATTTATTTTGATAAATAAGGCAGTTTACCAATTTTACCCATATATATTATATTCTCATAAGGGCAGTTTTGTCCATTAGTATTTTTGACATTTTTCCCTCCTAAATAATTGTAATGTCACCCGCTGGCTTAAAGGGGTTGGCTTTAAGATATAACAACGTTACTTAGAAATAAAAACCAAAAAAAAAAACAATCGTATGTCCAAATTGACTCGGGAGAGTCACATGCAAATGACTCCCTACAACGACCCACAGCACATCCATCCCGCGTATTCAGAATACCTTCTGATGATAATACCAAAACTAATAATGTCATCATCAGGAGATTTTTCCAATACAAAGCAGAGATATACCAAAACTAATAATGTCATCATCAAGAAATGTTCTCAATACACAGCGGAGATGTATCATAGAACGTTGTGAGGCGGAGATGTGATCTCGTTTTCAGGACATATTAAATGGTAAATATTACTAAAATTGGTTTTGTATTTAGCCAATGTTACTAAAATTGGAGGTCTACTTCTGATTTAATGGATTGGCACCTCCAGCTTTCAGGTGAGACCGGTTTTGTGGTGGTGGGAACCGTAGTCTAGATATATTACCATTTATTACCAGAAAGAAAATTATAAAGATAATGTGATGGGGATTGTCTGGATAAGAAATTAAAGAATAGAAAGGGACATTGAATATTACCCTCTTTTGGCAATTAGCAACTTCTCATCAATAATAAAATTGGGTATCGGACAACAAACCGTTTAGGGTCCGATTCCTGGGTCAAATGGCTTGATCGTTCGAATCCAACGGATGGTCCATTTTGACAAAAAAAATAAAAAATTAATATAAATAAATGAATAATGGCCAAAACCGTTGGACAGTTTGAACACCCAAGTCAACGATTTGCTGACCAAATCAATAGTTTTTTGCCAAAAAAACAATTTTGGAGTAAAACAAAATCAGTCAAGTGACTGGTTCTCGGTTTTTCTGGCCTAACCATTTGGTTCAGTCCAGTTTTGAAAACCATAGGTACTAGTGCATATCCATGCGACTGATATTCATTTTTCTCACCTTTTTTTTCATTTTTAAGCATTAGAAAGATGAGATCTATCATCAGTTGAAAATTTTTAAAACATTTAATGTATTGATGTGATATAGATATATTTTTATCCTTGCCTCTCACTCCATTTATTCTTAACCCTCAGCATTCATTCCTTTTCATTACCCCCACTTTGGTTGGTAAGTATTCCTTCTCCTCGCCATTATGTATAAAAGAAATATTTCAATGGGATTCACATATTTAGTAGTTCTTAATTGCTTATATTTTAGTCAACGAGGGGTGGTTTGTTGGTATGTTAATTGGTTCGTTTTGGTATTGATGTGGCATCGATTCTTATAATCATCAATTTGAAAAAAAATGGGTTATTAGTGATGTATAGTACCAAATACATAAAAAAAGCTTATTTTTAACTTTCCACTCTTCTATTTAGATGTGAAAATGCTGGATCATTTGAGTGTGATTAAAACTTGTATGAGAATCTATTTTTGGGAAGAAACTAAGTTTATCCACAAACTATTTTTCTCCAAAAAAAAAAAAAACTTGTAGATATTCAGCTAACACAATTCTAAGCAAAATATCAACAAAAAATAATCATAAGCCAAACAAAGAAAGACACGATATTTAACGTAGAAAACCCCTCCAATGTGAAGGGTAAAAACCACGAGGCCAAGGAGACCCAACCAAAAATCTCCACTAATAACTTAAGATAACAGTTACAGTAACTCAAATATCACAATATACTCACAAACTTAGAGAAAATACCGATTCTCAAACATATACACGAGAATACTAAAAGCTGTAAAAATAACAGTCAGAAAAACTCACAAACGTGACTACTGTTCACGCCACAACATGGAGACCTCCACTGCTCCAAATCAGATCTCTACCGTTCATATCGTAGGTCTGTAAGTTTCGAACAAGCCCACAAAATTTCAGCCAAATCGGACCACAAATGACCCTTGATCAGGGTAATTGATGATGACTGCTGCGAGATATTTTCTTTTCCCGACCAATTGCGAGTTGCTTCTGTTCGACCTCAAATAACCAGTGATTCATAACTCCAATCAAAGATCCGATCGTTCAGAATAAGGAAAAATGAGTTCTCCAGTTATTATCCAAATTTCAGCTCGATCGGACGGTGAATCAGAAAATTCCGACCGTTTGATGAACTCTGCACACTGAGAAATCTGTACAGTACTTCGATTTCTCTCTTTTGCTCTCTCTTCAACACACTGCGCGCAAAAATTTTATGTAACCCTAGTTTTTTTGTTTTTCTTTTTGAAAAAAAAAAAAAAAAAAACAGTGGACTGAAGGAGAATGAGCTATAATATGGGTCAATGGCTGGACCCAACATCTATATCTATTGGATTAGAATTTTTATCTTGCCACTAAATGAAAGGGAGATGAGGGTCAGTCAAAATTTGTCATGTATTGTGGGCTATAGCTGCAAATGAGGTGAGAAAATTTCCTTCTTCTATCTTTTATATCTTTCTCTTTACTGCAGTCTATACATCTCTGTCCCGCAAGGGGTGGCCCCATAGCCCATGCATTCCTGCCTTGTATTGGGAACATCTCCCAATGATATTATCAGAATTGATGATGCTATCATCAGGAAATGTTTTCAATACATGGCGGAGATGGACTATGGGGCATTGTGGGGCGGAGATGTAAACTCTGTTGTGTATTCCTCTTTCATTTTTTTTTATCAAAAAAAAAGGGAAATCTCACGAGAAAGCCAATTTTTTGTAGGCTTTCAAAGTTTTCGACCAAACATGCTTACAAGCTATCCGAGTGGAGCCTACCTCGAACAAT